GAGCCGCAAGATCCTGCGCTTCGTGGACAAGATCGCCAAGTCCAGGTGCTTCCAGAAGGCCACCGAGAATGAGTTCATCAAGAAGAAGATCGAGGAGGTGTCCAACATGCCGCTGCTGCTGACCGTGGAGGTGCAGGAGCTGGCGGGCACCTTGGCTGTGAATGTCCCTCCGCCGCCCACAGACCGCGTGTGGTACGTGGCCCTCCTGCACCCCGCGCATGGCCGCGGGGCCCCGCTCCGCCCTGCTCCCTGCATCCCACTGCACAGCCCCTGCTCCACGTCCCCTTCTCCCTGCTCCCTGCATCCCTGCTCCATATCCCCTGCTCCCTGCATCCCTGCTCCACATCCCCTGCGCCCCTGCTCCGTGTCCCCTGCTGCCCTGCTCCACATTCCCTGCTCCACATTCCCTGCTACCCCGTTCCACATTCCCTGCTCCTTGCACCCCTGCTCTGCATCCCTCTCTCCCTGTGCCCTGGCCCCGCATCCCCTGCTCCCTGCATCCCCTCTCCACATCCCCTGCTCCCTGTGCCCTGGCTGAGGAGCAAGCTCTGGGATTGCTGCTCCTCGAGCCAGGGCCGGGCTGCCCGGGCGGTTCTCAGAGCCCAGCACCTCGGCCTCCCGTTCCCGGGATGGGGGGTCCGGCCGCCCGTCAGCTCTGCGGCGCGGGGGGACGCGGACGCTCTCCCGTCTCCCTCCAGGTACGGCTTCCGCGCGCCGCCGCAGCTGGAGCTGCGGGTGCGTCCCAAGCTGGGCGAGCGGGAGGTCACCTTCCTGCACGTCACCGAGTGGATCCAGAGGAGGCTGCAGCACGAGTTCCAGGTGCCCGGGAGCAGGGAGGCAGCAACGGCAGCGCGGAGCCCGAGGCTGCTCCGTGGCATCACCTGGGCCCCCAAAGCACGGGATTGCCAAGACCAGGCCTGGACCTGGTTTATACCTAGGACAACCCAACACTGGGCCTGCTCTGGCCCTCCTAGTACAGTCAAGAAGCAGCTGGGGTTTTCACACCCAAGTGCTTGAGGAAACGCTGTTTTCTCACAATGTGTCCAGCATTATCCAAAGCAGGAGGGATTAGGAGTGTCCAGCAGATGTGTCCCAAAGGACCCGATTCACCCATCCTCTCCCGTTTGGGAATGCTTGGGAGATTTGCCATCACCAGGCCCCCATGGGTTTGTTTTCTGCCTCTTCCTTGCAAGGTCACTTCCAGGCAGCAACCTCATTCCTCAGGCAGTGTTACTTAAAGCTGCTTATTAGTGCTTTATTTTTCTGGCTTCCTCTCTTCAGAAAGTTTTGGTGATGCCGAACATGGACGATCTCATCATCCCCATCATGCATTCCGGCCTGGATCCGCAGCCAGGCGCCGGGGGGCTCTCCAGGGAGCTACCGGCCAGGGAGGAGAGGAGGCTCTGAAGGGCAGCCCCCGCAGCGGGGCTGGGACACTGTGCGGGGCTGGGGACACTGCGCGTCACGGGGACATCCAACTGGCCAGGGCCCGGCCACTGGCTGCATCACACGGTGACCTCCGAGCGTCTCAGCTCGTCCTCGGCACCATCCACACCTCAGACGAGCTCCTGCCTCCCCTATTGCAAGCTCCGGTTCAGAGCAGAACCAGACTCCAAGCGATGGGATTTCCTGGAGACACCCAAGGACTTCATCCACCTCCCACGAGGTGGCCAAGGGGGCAGCCCTGAAGCAGTGGAGAGCTGGGCTTTCCACCTCCCCAAGGAGTATCCAGGATACTCGGACTGTTTCTGCACTTGAGGAGTTGGGACATCTTGAATCAGCAGGGATGACAACTCCGGGACATGTCATTACCCTCCCTGTGGGCAGCTGAGCTGCAAGGAAGACACAGGTGGGAAACGAGTCCAAAAGTGTGAATAAATCCATCACTGCCCAGTTTTACCTAGGGAGGCACCTCAGTGTACACGAGTTCCCATGGACGGGATCGTGGGGCTCAGTGCAGCTGGAAGTCATGCTGCCAAGAGGAGCGTATGTCTGTGTGTGCATGTGAGAGACTGCACGAGCAGAAACCCTGTCACTGAAACCAGGGAGAACCAAGGGATGGGGAGGCCCGGCATTCCCAGCTGCAGCTGAGACAAAAATGCTAGTACCTGCCCTCCTCTGGAATACAGGACGGGGAATCTGATCCCACCCTGGCTACACTATGGGTTAGGTGAAGGCAGGCAGTGAAGAAGTTCTTTGGGAAAAGGTGAGGGAGGATCCAAAGGACAAAGCAGACACGTGGTGGTAGCTCTGAGTGCTACCTGTCCCATCCCCATGTATCAAAGAGCCTGGGGGACACAGAGTTGTCCACTGAATATGGACAACGTGATCCCTCTGGAAGGAAGGCAGGGAGCAGGCAGAGCTCGAACCCTCTTTATTGAAGGTGCCCGGTTATAGCAGCCGGGCACATCTCAGCCCTTACAGCTCTTGCTGCCCGTGCTTCTCTTTCACCAAGTGCTTCTTCTGAGGACCCTGAAAGAGAGCAGAGAGGAGAGGTGAGGGTGTTTGTGGCACACAGACCTGGCTAGCAGGTTGGCCCCTTCCTGCTGTGCAAGGCTGCTCCCCGGCTGGCAGCTCCGTCCTGCGGTGCAAGGCGGCTCCCCGGCTGGCAGCTCCGTGCTCTCATTCACCAGCATCCGCAAGGGCCTTCCGAGCTCGGGAGGAATCAGAAAATCACTGCCCTTGCACGAGCAGCTGGCTTACGTGGGCAGCACGAAGCAGCCCGAGCGGCAAGGGCTGCCCTGCTGCTGAGCCTGGCAGCGGGCTCGGGAGGAATCAGAAAATCACTGCCCGTGCACGAGCAGCTGGCTCACGTGGGCAGCACGAAGCAGCCCGAGTGGCAAGGGCTGCCCTGCTGCCCTGGCAGCGCACACGGAGGGGAGCGGCTGTGCCAAGGATTCCTTCCAGGAGCCCCCAGGAGGCTGCGGAAGCCCGGGATGAGGCAAGGCCACCCACAGCCAGGGGGACAGGTTCTCATCAGCCAAGTCAGCAGAGGTGCAGGGGTTTCCAGCAGCTAAGAAACAGAGCTGAACTGGACCAACCTGGAAACACGTTACGAGAATTCCTGTTGTTCGTCTGTTGCCAGCCAAAATAAATCTTACCCTCTTAAACATGGAGGACACATTCATCCCACAGCAGAAAATAGGGAAATAAACATCTCCAACAAGGTAGAAACATCTCCTGTCACTAAGGACCATGTCACAGCTACTTACAGTGACAGCAAGAGCAGAACGCAGAGGCATTCACTCCAGAACAAGCTCCTAACACTCAGCTGAAGGCAAACAAGCCTAAAGAGCTCTGCAAAGGCACTGAAAAGCCAGTCCTCCTTCCCGGCAGCTTAGACAATTTTGCACAGGATTTAGGGCTGGCAGGTCCTGCTTCACGTCTGCATGGTGTCCAGGAAGTGTCTTTATGCTGGCTGAAGACCTGGCTCGCTTAATGTTTCCTCAGTTTCATATTCAGACTTATGACCAGGCTGATATAGGCTGCAAATCTATCCAGGAAATTCTGCTTGTTTTGGATTTTGAATTTTTTTGCACTGGATTTAAGAAAAATATACTGCTTAGCCTTTTTAAAAGCTTCCTGACAAAAGAATCTCAAGATTGTGGTTAAATTTGACCCAACCTTTTCCTCCTAAGAACATTAAAGCTATAAATCATTCCAGCCAAATCAAAGAAATGCACAATTATGGGTGAAAGAGACCATATGTCCACTGCAACAGCTGCCAAGTTAACTGCTTGTTTAAAACTTCCTGCGGTGAATGGAAACTGGTTGGCCATATGGTAAATTATTTGCTAGCTGGGCTGTCCTGGATCACTCACACAACCATCATGTTCTTCTTTAGCATAATTTCTAGTGTGTGAATTGCATTCATGCCTGTCTTTCAGGCAAGACAGTCCTGATCACTCACTTGGCTGTGGTTGTACCTAGAAACAGATGCTTGGCTGGAGTCAGTGAGTTGCTCCAGGCCCAGCTGTGAGCAAGGCCTGGGAGCTGGAGCTGGCACGGGATACCACTCACCATGAAAGCCCGCTTCTCCTGAGCGGTCTGGAAGCAGCCGTGGCCAAACTTGGAAGTGGTATCAATGAACTTGAGATCAATGACTTCCTGAGAGCGGCGGCTTGTGTGCACCAGGAGGGACTGGAAGAGAGAAGTCACAATGCATTAGGTTTATTTTTGCCAAAGAAAAATCTGGGCACCTGCTTTGATGTAAGCAGCATTAAAATATCTTAGGAGCACCCCTTAGACATGAAAATCTGCTTCCTCAGAGCAGCAGCCGGTGGTCAGGCAGCGGGTGAGGCCTTGGACTGCAAAGCAGCTCTGAAATGAGCCTGCCCTTCACTTAGCACTTCATTCCCTCGCAGTCTGCTTATGGCCAAGGTTTCCACAGCCTCAGAGGTTTGCAGCTCCTGCCTGCAGTGAGAGAATGCAGCAGCGTGCACACAGCCACGATCCACCTAGCTGCAAACGCAGACTGACCGAGCTGCAAGGAGAAACCCATGGCAAGGAGAGCTGCACGGCGCTGCCCCTCTGCGAAACCCCTGCTGCCACATGCAGTGCATGTTTGGAGCCAGCAGCGAACTCCAAGGGGCAAATCCTTCACCGAGGAGCTCCAGTCTCTCCCTCCCCGGTGCCAGGCGCGCTCTCACCTTCCGCAGAGTGAGCACTCGCTTCTTGGTGCCCATGACACAGCCCTTCAGCATGAGGAAGTCGTTGTTGACCTCCCCGTAGTGAGGAAAGCCACCCTGCGGGGAGAGGTAGAGAGAGGGTTGGGAGGCAGGAGAGCTGGATGGGGGCGGACGTGTCCACACTGACATTTTCAGTGGAAAAAGACAGTTGGAATCAACGGTGCTTCTGGTTTAGCAACACTCTGCACCGGTCAGGACCCCCGACAGGAACACCAGAGCATCCCAGCCTGCTGACTGCATGAGCTGGGCACAGGAGCACTCAGCAAGACCTGGAGGCAGCTACTCAGCCTCCTCCTGTGGAAAATGTGGGGGAACAGACAACAGAGCTGGTCAGGCTCCTCAGTTAGCAGTTTTATACAGGAAAGCGAATTTTTAACCAAGTAACAATAATTTCTCCACTAAGTATCCAATTTTAATGACATTTATGATTTGGAGATTTTTTTGTTTGTTTTTTAAACCAAAATCCTTAGCCCTTGTCCAGGCTATCAGCTGAAAATGAGATGTACGGGAATAACAGAGGGCCTAAAAAATCCCACAGAGATGGTTTTCTATGTATAAAATAGGAGAGAGAGAGAATCACTGCACTTTCCTCAGTGGAATTCCAATCATTTTCCATGCCGCAGCCTCCAGCTGAGTAATTACATCCCTGGTGCAGATCCCTGGATCTTACCAGGGGGGTGATGGACTTCTCCGTCATGTCGTAGCTCGTCGAGGCGTTGTTCTTCACCAGTTTGCCATCTTCCACGTGGATCCCGCGGCCAATGCGGTAAATCTAGGAACAGGAACAGGAAGGAAAGGGTGTTGGGGAGTCTCCTGCTCCCTCGCAGGTGTTAGTGGGACAACAGGATTGCCACTGAAGTGTGTTCCCTGTGACGCATGCCCTGTGTTGGGAGGGCTGCTGGAAAGATCAGCAGACGGAGCTGCAGATCTCTGCGGCAAGACCTGGTCACCCACTAAGGCCACCACGGACAGAAGGATGGTGACAACCTGGAGGGAAGGCAGGTAGGGAGGTGCAGAGGGGCTGAGGCACCCCCTGGGCCCTACCTTCTTGTTGAGCTCGGTGCGGTGGTGGTAGCCCTTCTGGCCAGCCCGGGCAATGGAGTAGCCCACCCGGGCCGGGTGCCAGGCTCCGATGCAGGCCACTTTGCGTAGGCCCTTGTGCGTCTTCCTGGGCAGCTTCTTGGAGTGCCAACGGCTCGTCACCCCTGCAAGCACAACGGGACAGGGCTGTGAGAACACCAGCAAGCGAGGGACGCTCAGGGCTGGTGCCCATGTGTGGGGGGGATGCAGTGGAAGGGGAACATCTTGTATTTCTCCTGAAGTTCTCAGAAGACACAGGATTGGAAGGAAAACAAGAGCTGTCACTACAGTGAAGGGTCAGAGCACAAAACTCTTCCCACTTCCCGTGCATCCGAGCAGCCTGTGACATGTTCCTACTGAGTACACAAGCACCCACACCTTCACACCGAGGGCCCTGTGAGGAGGGCAGCATCTCCACAGCCTCTGCACCTCCCTGGAGGCCTCTGGACCCAGTGGACAACACGGCCCTTGTTGAGATAACGGAGCCAAACTGCTGCACGGGAAACGCGTGTTGTGGCTGAGGCCCAGGGGCTCCTTGCTACCCGCTGTGAAAGGAGTTGGTGAGTTCTCAGCACAGTTCACATTCCCCTCTCCCAGTTCTACTTTGTGGGCAGCGTCAGCTGAGAGGACAGAGTGAAGCCCTGGCAGAGGTCCCTGTGCTTTGTACCTTTCATCCCGTGGCCCTTGGTCACGCCAATGACATCGATCATCTCGTTCTGGCTGAAGACGCTGTGCACAGAAACCTGCTTCTCCAGCTTCTCGCGGGCCCAGTCAACCTTCTCCGGCACGGTCCCGCCGTTCAGCTGGATCTCCATCACGTGGGCCTTCTTCTGCCGCAGCTGGAGAAGCTTCATCTGCGGCAGCGGGGCAGGGGGAAACGTTTCAGTCCAGGGGCAGGAATATGCAGCAGGCTGCGTCACCCAGGCAGGGCCAGCTCCAGCACTGCCCTGCAGCACAGGCAGCCCCTTTCCTGCCCGCCGAGCCGGCTCAGGGTCCCTACACATTTGTGACTTCTTGGAGCCGATACCTGGAGTGCTCATCCTCCCTGCTGCAAAGCAGCTGTGATCCAAACGTCACCCAGGAGTGCTGTCCCCGCTGCCTCTCTCCCTTCCCATCCTGGCCCTGCTCAGGGGTGATGCAGGCTCCAGCAGCGCAGCCGCACGGTGGAAGCGGCTCCGGGGAGAGCCCTGCCTGGTTGCAGCCACCGAGCCGGCACCTCCCTTCCCTCGTGCTCCATCCACACTCCCAGATGGAGCCGTTATTCCCAGCTCCTGCCACGAGGCGCCTCTGTTCTCTCCTAGTCCCAGCACTTTGTGCAAAGCCTCCACCAAACCACCACGGTGAGACTCTGTCGGGAGACTGCAAGGGTCTGTGCCAGCCGCAGGAGCAGCTTCAAGTCAGCTAAGCTCTGCCCTTGGCTCCGATTAAACCATTAGCTCTCAAGGGATCAGCATGCAGATGGCCCCTGTGTATCCAATAACCAGCATCTGGCAAAACGGTGTCTGCCCATCAGTTATTTTTACCCCACCATTTGACACCGATTGCTAATTCGAGGCGATGGGGAGGCCTGAGTTCCTGCTGCCACGAGGCTCAGCACCTGCTGAGGCCCTCGGGAGCACAAGGGCTGCTCCCCTCCGCGGGACACAGGCTCCCCGCTCCGACAGGCAGCCTGCTGGAGCCTCCCGGAGGGATCCTGGATTGGGAGCTTGGCTGATCCCAGCTCAGAGGGACGGGCTGGTGTCAAGAGGCGGCTGGAAATGCCAGCCGGGACCTCCCGCTGCCTGCGTGTCCTGTCCCATGCCCCCTGCCTGGCACCTGCCTCCCCTGATGCCACCAGGACAGGCCCACAAGGACATCCCCTTCTTTCTGCTCCCGAGCTCAGCTAGACCCCAGAACCTGCCCGCTCCTATCCCTCCACGTGAGGCCCTGACCTGGGTGTGCATGATGACACGGATGACCTTGCAGTACTTCTTCATGGCTGAAAAATCCTTCTCCAGCTGCTTCTTGCCATCCTCATCCTGCCATTTTTTGCAGTACTTGGTGAAGGCCTTCTTCTTGCTCTTGTGCCTGGGACAAAAGCATTGAACAGCCCTCACTGCTGAGCTGGGCAACAGTAGCTGCCTTTCTGGAGGCACAAAGTACCAAACCTGGCTGCCCAAAGCTAAGGTGAGAAGGGGGAAAGTGAATAATGAGACACAAAAAGGGCTGATAATTGAGAATGTTTCTACAGTTTTCCCTCACAGATGGATTCAGTGCCACCAAAAATATAAGCACATAATCGGAGTTAAGTGAAGAAAGAAAACAGTCTGACAGGGATCAGGGACATGTGGTGGGCGGATGGGTGCTCTTGTAGGAGACACGATTCCTACAGTTATGAAATTCGTGTTTCCATTTGCCTCTCTCCCAGTGTGGAATTTGCAGAGATGATGTTTGCAAGGGCCAAGGGTCACAATCTGCATGGCTTTTCCATCTGACAAATCCAGGTTTTATCCCCCTTCCTTTGCTGCTTTGGTTAGAGCACTCCAGTTTCATAGAGTGGATGGGCCCAGCCTACACAAAAGAAACCAAACCTGCTGCTGAGTGATGCTCTGGAGACAGCTACCTCGGTTTGACTACTGAAACACATTCACATATGCAGATTCCCAAGAGAAAAAGGTGTTTGTAGAACTCCTGTGCATGGCTAAAGAAGCTGTTTCACTCCACCCCGGAGCTGGCTGCCCATAGCAGAGGGTTTCCAATGGTTGTACATCACGGAGAGCTTCGGGAAAGGTCTGGGAGAGGCTCCCTGCCCACAGTGCCCAGCAACCCACGCAGGCAGAGATGCTCCTACCAGTTCTTGTAGAAGCGGCGCCTGCACTCGTCACTGATGTGCTCAGCAAACACCGTCTTGAAGTTCCTCAGGCCCCGCTGCGTTTCCACGTACCCCACGACTCCCACCACCACCATGGGGGGGGTCTCGATGATGGTCACCGCCTCCACCTCCTCCCTCTTGGAGATGCCTGCGAGACAGCGAAGGGAAACGGCGCTCGGCATCGTCCCACACCGGCTCGTTGCCCGCGAGCTGGTGCTGGCCCAGGCCGCTGCACTGAGCAGCAATGGTGGGGACAAGGTGGCATTCTGCTCTCTCCGTGTGCCTTGGGATGATGCCTGCTGGTGGCAGGGCAGCACAGGGGCCGAGCAGGTCAGTCCCCGTGGCCCTGCACACCTGAACCCCTCATGCTGGAGGGAACAGCGGGTTGTGCCGCTGCAGCTCACGCCGGAGCTCGGGTCCTATCCTGTGGGCATCCCCAAGGAGCACGCTGTAACTTCCCCAGCAGGATTCACAAACTGGGCCTTTAACAGGTAGTTACCACGGAGGGTCCTTCTGCCAGCAGGACCCAACAACCCACCGGGCATCATCCCGCTGAGGGGACATCCCAGGAGCCTCCAAGCCCAGCCCACACTGGCCACGAGGTGGCCGTTGGCCATCTAGAGCCTAGGAGACAGCCTGGAAGCCCTGTGGCTCTGCCATTTGATCCCATGCAACCCAAGTTGACCATGAGGCAGCAGTTGCTCTTGTGGACAAGAAGGCCAATGGGATCCTGGGGTGCATTAAGAAGATCGTCTCCAGCAGGTCGAGGGAGGGGATCCTGCCCCTCTACTCAGCCCTGGGGAGGCCACATCTGGAGTATTGTGTCCAGTTCTGGGCTCCACAGGACAAGAGGGATGTGGAGCTGCTGGAGAGAGGCCAGCGCAGGGCTACAAGGATGATCAGGGGCTGGAACATCTGCCCTATGAGGAGAGGCTGAGGGAGCTGGGCCTGTTCAGCTGGAGAAGAGAAGGCTGAGAGGGGACCTGAGCAGTGTCTAGAAGTACCTCAAGGGAGGCAGTGAGGAGGATGGGGCCGGCCTCTTTTCAGTGGTGGCCACTGACAGAACTAGAGGAAATGGCCACAAACTGAAACACCAAAAGTTCCACAGGAACTTAAGGAAAAATTTCTTGACAGTGAGGGTGCCAGAGCACTGGAACAGGCTGCCCAGAGAGGTTGTGGAGTCTCCTTCTCTGGAGATCTTCAAACCCGCTTGGACGCAGTCCTGTGCCACGTGCTCTAGGTGACCCTGCGTGTGCAGGGGTTGGACTGGATGATCTCTAGAGGCCCCTTCCAACCTTGAGCATTCTGTGATTCTATGATCCCATGCGCAGCCCCTGCTCCCACCGAGCCTGTTCCCCCTTTCCTCTCCCTGGGCGATCCCTCTTTCCGCTCCCTCCCGCAGCGCAGCCTTACGGAGCCCGGGCCTGTGCACCTCCCGCAGGGTGTGCGTCATGCCGGCTTTGTAGCCCAGGAACGCCGTCAGGTGCACGGGCTTGCTGGGGTCGTCCTTGGGCCACGTCTTCACCTTCCCTCGGTGGCGCCGGCTCCGCTTGTGCGGGAGGAAGCCCAGGTGGCCGTGGCGGGGAGCCGAGAACTTGCGGTGGGACTGCGGGAGGAAGAGCAAGAGGAGACCCGCTTTACTGCCAATCCCAGAGGAGATCCCAAGGGATCGGCCCCAAAGCACAAAGGGACACCCTGAACCTCAGCACACTCCGTGGGGTTCATGGCTCTGCAGTTCCACCATGGGAGAAGGAAGTCCATAACAGACGAGGTTTTATTTAGGCTTCCATAACGTGTATCAGAGAATTTACGTTTCTGGACAAATGATGCAGATTAACTAAAAGCAACCTGAAAATCATTCCTCTCCAAGGACTTTTTTCGAGGAGTTTCAAGCAGAAATAAGCTCTTTAAGGTCGGCCCTACTGTGGTGTTAATTACAATTATTAATTTGGTGTGCAGAAGCACTAAAACGGCCTGGTTAGCGTTCGTGGGGCGAGTTCTGTCCTCCCAGCACTGCCAAGGCAAACGGCAGCAAGAACACAGCTAACAAGAAACAGGAAAAGATGCCCTAAGGAGTCAGTAATAACAAGCGCGTGTTAAATATGCACCTTGAAAATGACTTCAGAAGCACTAAACGTACAAGCCGCAATCACAAGGTCATGTAGTACCAGCAGAAAAAAACCACTGCGCCTTGGAGAGGCATGGCCAAATTCTGACAATACTGGGGAGCCCATTGGAGCAGGGAACAGTTCGACTTACACCCACTGCAACTCCCTTCTTGGCAAGATCAGCCCCAGCACCCGGTTGCACTTTCCACCGAGCGCGTTTTCCAAGCCAGGAGGACCCGTGTCCAGCGCTCCCCCATTTCAACAGTGCAACCAGCTCTATGCAGCCCCGGCCCTGCTCGCCGTCCCTCTCCCTGCAACCCCAAAGGCAGCAGTGCGGAGCGTTACCAACCATGGGACGTCTTCAGCCCAGGGCAGCAGCAGAAAGAGGCTATAAGTAAGTGCCACCCCCGTCTAATACTTAAGATGTTTATCACTCAGAAGACACAAATTTAGCCGCTAGCTTCATTCGGTGCTGTATTCATTACAGCAGAGCTGGCAGGTCTTGCACTAAGAGCAGTTGTGACATGATAAAGGTCAAGTGCTGGTGTCTCAGTTTACTTTTCTCCCCCCCTAAACAAGCTGGACATGAATGGAATCAGTGACAAGAGCTTCCTAATTGCAAGACAACACAATAAAACCCGTGATCGCTCACGCTGAGCACACGAGTAGCCAGACGAACTGCATCCGTCTGCTCACGAAGAAAACTCTCCACGTCGGCCCGGGATAACCGCAAGGTGATGCTGCCTGGACAGCAGACCCCAATGCGAGGATGAGCTTTGCTCCTTCCCTAGCTTTTTTGGCTAGAAAAAGTAGACACTGGCTTCAACAGCAACCGCATTTCCGTGGGTGATGCTTCGGCGCCTGGGCAGGGTGTCAGGCTGCACCGAGTGTGGCAGCCGCTGTGGCTACAGGAAATTCCCAGCTACAAGTATCTTCCAGGTGTTAAAAATTGCCTGTAGGCTACAACTGCAATAGCTCACTTCCTTGCCGTGCTACATTGCAGATTCTTGGCTCTAAAAAATAAAATAGAGCAAAGCAAAGTAAAATAAAGTAAAATAAAGTAAAGTAATATAAAATAAAATAATAAAAAATAAGCAGAGCAGGTGAATATGATACCCTGTCGTGGTAAAACCTGCCAGCCCGGGAGCCACAGTAGCTGCCGTCACCGGGGCTCTGTCCCGCAACCGC